ATATTATTCGAATTATTTTTTCATTTTTTTTTAGTTTTATTATTTTTTAAAATTTTGTAAATTAGCCGAAATATTTTTGAAATTATTTCATTTCTTTTGCAATATTGCGAAATTATTTTATTTCGAAATAATTTCACGTCAATCGCAGTTATTTCGAAAGATTTTTGGTATACAAAATCTTTCGCAATATTTCGCTATTTATTCTGCTGATGTTAGCACTGATGGCATGCAATGGCATATAATTAGCAGTATTGACTGTATATGCATGTGTTTGATAATGTAAAATTATAAAAACCAATTATAAATAAATATTCATCTTGTCTAAATATCAAGAAAAAGGTAAGAAAGAATAAATTAGATCTAATAAACATCAAAGAATTAAATGCAGTTTAACTAGAATTAATATTAAATCTTGTGCAATGAATAATTTTTCAGGTTGAACCTAGATTTAACAAATAACCTACTTGATTTTATGGTATTAAAGATTATTGGCGTTAAATCATTATCAAGCTCATTCAAGAGCATATTACTGTATATAAATTAATCTTTCTGAGCGTTATAGTGAGCACTTGATTGAAAAAGTATACATATCAAAATAATCCATCTAAATTTAACATTCTTAATATTTGAAATTATAATCATACTTATCTTTACTCCATGGCATTAAATTCATGAATGTCTGATAATAGCTTGATTTTTTTCAGTTCGATCAAAATATGTAAATATTGAGATTAATCTTACAAATTTAGTATTATCATGCAGTGCTAAATACAGTACTCCCTTGAAAAATCATCTCCTTTAATTAGTATTGGGGTACTATTCAACTGTAAATTTTACCATTTTTGAAAAGTATTCTAATACTAATCAAGTAGTCTGAATTAATGATCCTGTTATATGATCAACCTATATGATTAATTTTATCTTCAGTATATCTTGTATAGTGTCTCTTTCTTTATACAGCACACTCAGATGTATTATTTAATTTATCTTAAATTTCTTATAAAGGCAGTGCTGTAAGGTATATTATACTTATCTTGATTCCGTAATATTAAAAATCTGTAGGCGTTAGGTCAGTATCTTGATTTCTTCAGTTCGAACGGGTATGTGTAAACCTTTTTAAATTTAATACACCAATTACTATTTAAATCAAGTTATCTTGAATCTGTTGTATAAAGGTTCGTGAGCATTAAATTGGTTAATTTTTTACTTTGGCATATAGTAAATAAACATCAAAGTTAATCTTTTAAATTTTTTTCGATATATCAATTTTACTGATTCTGCTAAACTATGTTACATGAAAAAAAAAAATGCTATTATAATTAAATATATTTTTAAATTAAACCACTAAATAAAATCTGAATTTACAAGAACTATTGCTATAGTTTTTTATAAATTTGTATCAGCCAATTATATCTTATTGTTGTCATTTTCGTCCCTTTTCTTAGCACTTATCAGAAATTTTTGTATGCTTATCGGTTATATGACCTATTTTCTGATATTCAAATTAGGTTGGATGCATGTCAATCTCTGTTGTGTTCAAAACACAAATCACTGTTTATCTCGTGATTTATTAAATGTCAATTTCATTCCTTTTCATAGCACCTAGCCTATATATAATTTTAAAATACTGCTTTCTACCTTTAAACTATATAACCAATCAACAAATGTAATTTGTATATTAATTTTTTTTTATAATTTAATATTAAAGTAAAATAGGTCATGTTTTAGAAGAATAAAGCTCTTATCCAACTTATAATAACAATTTATAAATATAAAAACTTTAGTATAAATGTTTTTAATAAGAAATTACATGTTTTTTAATAATATTATTAAAACTTTATATAATTAACAAAACTACACTATTATACATATAAAACAACTTATATTGAATTAAATATTTTCTAAAAAATATACAACTTTTGAAAACAGTCTGTAAAGTTATAAATAAAATAAACATATTAATTATTTAACTAATAATAGATAAGAAAAAAAAAACCAACGTTGAACTTTATAAATTAAGCAGTACAATATATTTTTATTACCTTCTATTATACAGTAAACAGTACTTCAACTTTTAATAAATCCAATTTTTATTGCATTATTCACTACGATTCAAATCGATTTTCTTAACAAGAAGTTTGCTAGGAAGTTCTTTGATTAGTAAAGTAATATGGTTGGTTTATTTTTTTAAGTTTACTAATACCCGAAAATTCTGGTTTTATACTACAATTCTATATAAATATTTGTGTAACGTTTATCACGGAAATCATCGGAAACGAATGTCATCACATGTAATAATTATAAAAAAAATGGGCAATTTCATAACGATAATAATGATACTTCTTAATCTTGTTTTTAACCACCTATCAAATTTTATTCAAATCAAGAAAATTTACAAAATCTATTCAGAAATTATATTGATGATTTCTTTTATTATTAAAAAGTTTAAAAACCAAAATTTACTTAAATTATATATATATAATTTAGATGTATTAATCATTTGATTCTATATTAATACCGACCAAATTTCATGGTACGTATAAATTTTTGGGACACGAAAATAATTGTTAAAAAATACATGACCACGTGGGTACACGGCTTTAGCCGTCCCCCTTATTTGGCTTTTTCATCTATGGTATAAGTTTAGTCGGTAAGAGATTAGACAGAATATAACGATAGTACTATATGTAAATACTATACGTACTAGATTGGCCAATCTCAGCTGTTTTTACCGATGTGATCAATACAAAATATTAAATGTTACGAATGCGTAGCAATCATAAAAAAATTCTATCGTTTATTTATGATTTGAGAAAAAGTTTGAGATGAAAATTTGGCGGTATGTGGTGACAGTGAGATTCGAACTCACGCCCCATTGCTGAGACTGCGACCTGAACGCAGCGCCTTAGACCACTCGGCCATGTCACCTTGATAGTAGGTAAGACCGAACCTTTCCTTTTTTTGATAATATCATAAATTTAATATGGAAATGATCTATCATAATGCGATTGTGTTGACGTTACTGTATTCACAAAATGCTGTGGACAAAATTCACATTAGGTTCCAGTGGTTTAGTTTATTAGTTTGGACTTATTACTACAAGTAATTCTCGATATAAGAAACTCTCGATATAAGAAACTCTTGATATAAGAAAGATTTTACAAGTCCTAATTGAGAATTTTATAATAAAAAACATTCGATATAAGACAATCTCGATATAAATATAAGGATTTTTGTTGGACCCGGCAACTTTCTTATATCAAGAGTCACTTGTATATATAAATATAATCTAACACAAAATAACATCAAAAACGTAAAATAACTCATTACTGTAATCTAGTACGAAATAACATCAAAAGTAGTAGATAACAAGCACGTTTAATGACTTTGAACATGAACATATATATAATTAAATTATGACCGTTTATTTTTATTAAATACATAACAAATTTTTGACTGCATGTACACCAACTTTTGCTAAAGAAAGATAAACTAATATGTAGTTACTTCACCAATGGCCTGATTTGTCGAAGCCTGTTTGTCGACGAATTTTTTGGATTAGAGCTCTACGCATGAATTGTTCCCGCGCTAGTGTGCGAATATTCTAATTTATAGATAATAAAAAAACATATATATTTGCATATAAAATTCAATATACACGTAACATTTATGAATTAAATCATAGGTTCACAATTATGTTTAGTACCTTCATATATGTATTCAAATCTATCCTCTCAGTGGATAAAGCTTTTCCTAAATAATAAATTGTATCTTCGATTGCATTTTCTTCTGCCACCAATTCAAATAACCTAAGGGTGATATTTATTAAACACTGATAATAAATGAAATCTAAAAATAAGTGAATAAAATGCTCAACTGGTTGTATACTATGGTTGTTCCACATAGGACATCGTCAACTGAAACTTCTGGCATGTTTGTGACTTTCTCTATTAACCTATCAATTTCAGCCACTTTATTCCTTAAAAATTCGGTTTTTTCTTTTATACTATTTTCTAAATTATGTAAATGTTCACGTTCCTGGTTAATGCGCTCTTTGCTTTTATTTAGCTGTTCACCACAACCCATTATCCTATGTATTTCTGGCGTCGATCTTTCAAAGTATTCATTGCAACTTTTTTTTACTTTATCATAAACCGCAGACTGTAGTTTTACCAACTCTGGATTTTGTGTTGTTGGCAATGGTGCAGGCTGTGAGACAAAAGGTGGTGACGGATCATCAAGTATACTTGAAATATGAAGTTGTGAAGAATCTTCCCCAGGTAGAAACCTAGGCAATGAACTAGAATGCTGCTGTGACGGTTGTTGTTGTTGATACATATGATTTTGTGACTTTTTTGTGCAGATTGTGTAAAATATTATTTAATGCATCAAAATATACTAATACAAAGAAACAAAGTATTGATGAAAAAAAATAAGGAAGTTACCGGAATCATGTACCGTGGATTCGGTGGAGGAACTGGTGCAGCTTGACTACGACTTCTCGGTCTACTAGCCGGTTTATTTGTTGCAACAGACTGATAAGGCGGTGGAGGCGGTAAAGGAGGAGGTGTTGGCGACTGTGGATGATAGGCATGAAGAACTGGTGACGTTAAAGTGTTCTGACCTCCATTGGTAGGTGGTTGATGTAATAATTGCGGAGCTGGTGAAGGTTGTGAAGTGGGTTTTGTATATACTGGTGGGTTTTGGCCAAACATGTTTTGCAGAATTTTACATAGCGTAACAATATTTGATTCCTTCGATATAAAAAGGTAGGCATGAATTTCCAAGCCAGTAAGCAATAAACACCCGATAAAGTTTAATAGTTCACTACAAACCTCCTGCGGATTAATGCCCCAATGCTGTAGATATGTATGCTGACATCGACCACTTACATCAACGATTTTTGATGGTCTTACTAACATACTAGAGGTCGGAACCACGAATACGATGGGTGCTGCCATGGGATATTCCGTTGGGATCCAAATGTTGATAGGAATGTTATATGGTGTTGATTTGAAAGTGATCGGAATTGTTCCGTGAAGACATAACAAGGCTTTACTTTTGCCATCATCGTACGCTTGAAGGGAAAAGTATAAGGATCAATATGTCTATTGTTAGTTCCAAAAGTCCAAACGAACTTGCTTTACATCAGAAAACTATAAAACATTCGAAATTTTTTGATCTAGTGAAACGTATAATAGGCATAGAAGTATTACCATCCTGTTTAATAAACTAAAGTTTGTCACTTACTATATGTATCTGTCTTTAAAGCCAGCGATTTGCCAAACATTGCCAGAGTGGCGTCAATATCTCGAAATACTCGTTCAGGATGTGCGTACTATATGAGTGTAGTTAAACAATCTGCTTTCCAGAAGAACAATAGTTGATACAATCTAATATACTTACTTGAGCTTTGTCCAAAGTTTTGCGAAGCCATATTCGTATCGAATTCAGATCGGTAGCCATTGGAAAAGCAAGTATGGTTTTTATTAACCATCAAGTCTTTAATTTGTTATTGTAAATACACCAAGTACAGTACGTCACTTGACCTTACGTCATCAAGTAGATTATCAAAAGAAGAGTATTGTATTACATAGCGATCTTTAACGTACTAAGAGCTTAGAGTAATATACAGTTAAGTTAGATCTTAATTTTTTTTTTTTTGAATACGTATCCCTGTTGTAACTACAACTAGGGGCGCAGGTGGCGCTCTTTTATTAAGATATTATAAATGACTTAGTTACTTTTTAAATATTTACATATTAGTTTAAAAGATTTAGATCTAGTATTAAAAGAATTGTTTTTTAGAATTCGTATTTTTTTTGAAATGTGATTTCTAATAAGAGAGTTTAGAGAGTTAAGAGGTGTATTTGAATCTTTCTATTTTACAGAGGTGTATTGACATCATATCTCATATATTGTAATAATGTGTAATCAGATCAAAGTTATTAGAGTTTGAGGACAAGTATTATTAGAAGTTTGAAAGATATTATCTAATAAGAATAATATAGAAATTTCTTTATTAATGTTAAGAAAATTGTATGCTTTCTTTTAGATTATTATATTTTGAGAACATTCTAAAGCAAAGTATTTTATAGTTTGTACTTCATCTGAACATCAAGTATAGTTTTTTGTTTCTGATGTTTCAATATGTCTTAATTAATAATTTAGCAAAAGTGTTATATCAAAAAATATTAATTTTCTTATTACAAACAGATTTTAAAAAGAACCAAGTATGCTGTAATACTTACAAAAGAATCTGTAGTATAGTTAATAAAAAAAAGATTCTTTTGAAAATTTTTGAATTTGTTTGATTAAGAGTTTATCTTTTTTAATTTCTTTAATTCTAATTTTATTATTGTTTCAGAGTCAGTTGAAAGTATGAGAGATCTTGTTTTTAATTCTTATCTAGGCTTTTAAGGGTTTTTATTCTAAAAGTTGGATTTTTATACTTGTATTGTCAGAATTTAGTGGCTAAATAAGAGAAATATTCCTTCTATCACTAAATATTAATTATATTTTATTTCTTTCATATGTTGCTTATATGAAGTTAGATATAAAAAGTCTTATCCAAACTATGCTTAAGCAAGTATTTAGTATATCTTTAATAACTAAAGTTTGAAGATCTACTAATTCTGTCAATTGCTATTTTTTTTTTTTTTTTTATTATTAAGATAATCTCTTTGGTCTTTTGACTTTTATTAATCACTTATCAGTATTGTGGTTCAATGAACTACTACAGGAGAGTGTACAATT